GAAAACAGAATTAAAGTCTTTTTTCATATGATCTTCATGGTAAAGGGTTGTGTAACACATGTTTTTACTTTTTTGTTATGGTAAAGTGATTTGTATAAACTTTATTCAATAACGTATATTTTCCTCCATTTGTGATTTTTTAATTTTAAGCGAAAATTAAGTATAACATTTTAGGAAAAAGAAACATTGTAATATTTAAAAGAATAAGAAGAAATTAGTCTTATTTTGAAAGGAAAATATAGAAAAAACTCTTTCTATAGAAAAAGTCTTTATACTAACCAGAATCCGGTGACATATACGCGGTCTCACCGGAAACATTACTTATTACTTCGCATAACATGAAGAATATCTACTTTTAATAATGAACACACATTTATTATTTGAGATTAAAACTCGAATTAAATTATAAATATTAGTTACCTATGTTGTTATAGCTTTTATAGGCCTGTTTAACGACTTAATAAGTTACCTAGCGAAAAAATCTGTGCGCGTACCTAATTAATTACTACTGTCAGCTAGTTCAGCTACTGTCTAGGTAGAATATACCTAGAGTACCTACACCTACCTATGATGTAGGTAGATTAAAGCTTATTTTGACATTACCTCTCACTTCGGTGTCACAAGCTGAATTTTTTATGGATGGAAGTACAGTACATGATATGGGGACCCTTATTCCGAAAGTAGTACAAAATTAGACCGGGTAAAAGGGCACTATCATCAAAAATCGATATATTAATACCACCGTATAGAGAAAACAAATACTTATTTTTTGATCCAGTGCACAATAAAGTCTTCGTAGGGAGTAATTTTTTTATAATTATTTACAAAAAAAACATTTCCATTAGCGCTTATGACCAAAAAAAACTTTAAACGTGAATAATCATTTCAGTCATGCGAAAATTTGGTTTAAAAATAGATTTTTTTTAATATAACTTTCATTTAACGAAAAACGAAGGCCTAAATGAAAAAAAGAAACAATTTAAAAGTTTCGCTTATGTCTTGACAAGGTATCAAAGCAAACCCCATATTTTTTGCTTTTAAACTAATAAAGATATATCAATAAACAATTAGCGATGTAATGGTTTTTGCGCGCGCTGGCCGACTGCCGCCGCTGCGCCGAGATTTCCTATACCCTTGCATATATGACGTCATGGTGTGGCAAATGTAGCATTTTAATTCGATTTGGGCTCCCTTATATAGGATAACAGAAACATTTTCAATGTTAAAAAATAAAAAATAAATAATGATTTTTATTGTATAAAGAGTAATATTACAAATATACTATATTACACAATATTTGGTAGGAGTTTGGCGTTAGCCACTCTTCCACTCCACCATAAAATAAAAGTAAATGATTCTAGGCTTAGAATTCGAATTATAAAAAAAATGCAAAAGAATAATTACAATAAAGATTTTTTTTTAAACAGCTGATCATTGAAACGATTTTAAATTAATTTAATTAGTAGACAATAATGTATTATTTTTAATTAGCAAACAAACGATTTTTTATTTTAAATTTAAATCTTGAAAATGGTGAATCTAGTATATCTAGTATTGGGTTTAACAATAAAGGTGTCTTATAGGAAAAACTACATTTAAATTTTAAACTGTGAACAGCCGCGGGACTGTAAAAGTATTTAATCTAATATCTCTACTATAGATTTCTGATCTTTTTATAAGTAAATTGTATAAATATGGAGGAACTTTGTATGTATAGACTTTATATAATAGCATAATATAAAGGTATTGAAAACGTAAAAAGAGTCTAGGCTCATTCAATTTAATTAGGTGAGGAGTTACGTGCTCTCTATATTGTAGATCACAAACAAATCTCACCGATGCATTTTGTACTCTGTATTTTTGCTTGGTTGTAGTTGGTCAAAAAACTGTAATAAATCTGACTACAATAGTCCAAATGTGGATATATCAGCGCCATTATTAGGTGAGGTTTTGTCGCTTCATCCAACAAAAACTTTAGATTATACATGCTTTTCAATTTAAACATAGCTTGTTTGTATACTTTATTACAGTGATGTTCGAAAGTTAGGCCGCTGTCTAGGTAAACACCCAGGTTCTTGGCAACATCGACCCATTGGATCAGAGTACCACCAATAGATAAATAAAAATTGGAAACAATAAAGTTTCTACTCCTCGCATTACCTACACAAAGTGCATGAGTTTTATTAGAATTTATTATTAGTCCATGGTTACTACACCATGTTTCATAAGCAGCCAAATCGCGGTTCAAAATAGTAACGGAGTCCCCAGCATCTTCAATGGCAGTTTCCAGATATATCTGTACATCGTCAGCGTACATATGCATTTGACACTTATGAATCGCTGATGGCAAATCAAATGTGTATAATAAAAATAAGAGTGGGCCCAAGATGCTACCCTGGGGCACTCCATTCAGTGTCACGCTAAAGTTGGATAATTCTAAGCTATTCAGCTTTACTCGTTGTGTCCTATCATTTAGATAATCTTCAAACCAAGACAATGCAGCAGTATCACATCCGATGAATCGAAGCTTAGCTAAAAGCAATTGAAAGCTAACCGAATCGAATGCCTTACTCTGATCCAAGAGAACTAAGTGTGTCGTTTAAAAATCGACAAAAAATTATTTTTTGGTAATAAATTTGTGTGTCTCGAAACTTTCTATCCTTATAAACTTTCTATACCTAATTCTATACCTAGTTTCTATACCTAATTTTTATGACAATTTTTAGTAAATGACGCCTAGAGATTGACTTTGTCAAAATTATCAACAATTGCCATTACTCAACCATCTTTGACGACATTTTTTTTCGATCATACGGTAGGTACCCTTAGAATGAAAATAGACGATCTAAGTAAGATACATTTGATATCGTATATCTAGTATTTTAATATTTTTTTCTGAAATTTTTATTTATTAGAAGGAAGTTTTTTTTCAGGATGAGTCTTAAATAAGTGCAAATATTTTCAGGGCTGGTAGATCTCGATAAAAGAAACATATTTTCTCTTTACCGTTTTTGAAATAAATCCAAAATATAACCGAGTTATTTTAATTTCAAAAAAAAGATTTTTTGCTAAAATTTTGAGAACCACCGGATCTTTTCTGGATTTTCTTTGTTGTAAATTTAACCTACTACCTATGTTGCCATCTCAACAACGAATTATGTTTTTTAACTAAAAACTAAAAAAAAATCAAAGAATTCCAAATTTTAATTTTTTTGCAAATAAAAAATCATAATCCTGTTTCTGGAATCGAAATATACTACACCTAAAAATATTTGCACTGATTTAAGACTCACCCTGTTTAACTAAACGTTCTGCACCTAACGTTAACTAAACTTCACCCTGTTTATTTATTTATTTGATCATACCATGTCAATTGACTGCCTAATTATGTACCTAAAGAAAATAAGCCTGTGATATCTCCCGTTCTGAATACACACTTATATAGACGTCTGGCAAGGGTAATCTACATCTTTTAATCTCTCTGATACCATACAATTACTCATTTTTTTTCACCGAGTTTTAACACAAAGAGAAAAAAGGAATTACATACGGACACCCTGTTCAGGCTAAACAAGTTTTCGCAATCAAACTTATATTGTTACCTCTATACATTTCCTTTTTTAGAAAATTAAAAGAGAACATGATGGCGATTTCGTATTTTAGGGTGAAAGGGTTTGAAGGGGTTGCTAGTTAGAAAAAAATCGCTTTGCCAAAACACGAACGAGAGCTTATTGTTATTAGATCGGCATAACGTAATTTTAAATATATGCATATACAGGGTCCCGCAATAGTGCGTCGGGCATCTGTAGCTCCTAGAATAAAAAGCTTGGGAATTTTGTTTAAGTGCAAACCTAAAGTATGTACTAGGATATATTTTAGAAAAATATTTTAACTTCTATGGGGTGGCTCAAAAAGTGTGAGTGGATCGGGAGGTTTTTTTTTAAATAGATATTATTGCATTTTTGACTTTCTTTCAGAAATATTAATAAAGATATTTTTTCAGATCAGTTTCACAGATATTAATAAACAAATAAAAAAATATATTTTTCAGCCTTACTCCCTTAAAAAAATATTAAAAATACAAGAACTGTCTTGTAATTAAAACCTATATTAGGTATTTACTTTAAATTGTATGTTCTTAACTTTGCTATAAGTATGGTAATCGTAACTCATACAGGATGTTCAAAATTCTACGCCAAACTTTCTAAAATATAGGTAAAATATTTTTTCTTCGTTTTTTTAATTGAACACCCTGTATATAATTTTTCAATAGATGGAGAATTACAAAATGAAATCTTTTTGTATTTAGAGTATTTCAAAATTCTTAACGGTTTCGCAAATATTTGCGGTTTTATATTTCCTATGGCATTTTCCACAATAAATTTTTATAAAAGGCAATGCATTTTCTCTGGTATTTTACCGTTGAAAGAGCCATATGAAATAATACTGCGTGTATCTGAGAAACCGAAGTTTTGAAATACTTTAAATACAAAAAGTCTTTAATTTTTAACTCTCCATCTAATAAAAAAATAATATACAGGGTGTTCCATTTAAAAGAAAAGAATTTAGAATTTAAGAAAATATTTTTTAATTCAGAAAGTTGGTTAGGTTAGGTAGGTAAAATACATACTAACTATAGTGAATGCCCTAGCATAGTTTTGATGTCAGGACAGTTCTTGTATTTGTAATAATTTTTTTAAGAATGGTTGAAAAATGTGTAATTTTTATTTATTAATTTTTTTTATCTCTAAAATTATCGAAATACTCATATATTAGGATTATGTAAAGTGATCTGAAAGGAAACCAAAAATACAATAATATACAGGGTGTTCCATTTAAAAAAAAATCCCGATCCACTCACACTTTTTTGTGCCACCCTATTGAAGTTTTATAGAGATAATATAGAAAGTATTTTCCTGAAATATATACTCGTATATACCTTAGGTTTGCACTTAAATAACATTCTCAAATTTTTGAGAATTTTATTTATTGCTTTTCAGATTTATCATCTTACGTTTCGTTTTTTGACCACCATCCCCAACTTTAATCCCAATGGTAATGATCAAATTTGAATTACCCTGTATACAGAGTGGCGCACCTCATTCGCCTCGGATGATTATACGAAAACGGAAAGATATAGAAACAAAATATTTTATGGGTATATGTGGGAAGGCAATGTGCATAATTTAAAATTATTTTGAAATGTACAGGGTGTGTCCACTACTTAGTTATATTTTTTCTTATGGAACACCCGGTATTTTATTTCATTTTTGGATTTTTGGACGTAAAATAAGACATTAATTATAAGGGTTTAATATACTTAAAAGCTTTGGTTTTTGAGATGTTTAAAAATATTTAAATATACATGCTATAACAAAAAAGTTTGTCAACACTTGTACATTACTTTTCAGAATTAATTCTTATTCTGACTTTCAAGCCACAGAAATAAACTTTACTAAAAATTTTGATTGCTTCCTTAAATGCATACAGAGGTATCAAAAATTGCTGGTCTATTTTAAATATTAATTTTACATAAAAACTTCGTTATTTCAAATACAACAGTATGTATTTTTTTAAATAAGTCGAAGCTGATTTAAATGCTCTTTCAAACTATATTAGGGTTTCCTGTACCTATCTGGCTCAGATTTGAATAAAAAGCGATTTTTCAATAAAAGTGAAATCAAGAAGGCTGGTTGGTGTCTTTACATATCTCAAAAACCAAAGCTTTTAAACACATTAAACCCTTATAATAAATGTCTCATTTTACGTCCAATAATCCAAAAATGAAATAAAATACCGGGTGTTCCATATTCTAAGAATCTTAGTTCTGACACACCCTGTACATTTCAAAATAATTTTAAATTATGCACATTGCCTTCCCTCATATACACATAAAACATTTTGTTTCTACATCTTTCCGTTTTCGTATAATCAACCGAGGCGAATGAGGTGCGCCACCCTGTATAGAGCCTTTGCAAAGAAGTTTCGAAAACTTCGCCATTAAACTGAAAGATAAATAAACTACATAAATGTTTCTTTCATTATGTTAGATGCTTAGACGTGTATATTTATTTTCTGGAGTTTAATTAAAGGCAAAACAAATGCCAGAAAAAAGTGTTTCCTATTTAAAACCCTCCAGAAATTTAGTTTTTTAGAAAAGAATGTAATTTAAACGTCCAATTGATCACCCCGAAGCCGCAAAATAGGGCCCAGATCAAAAACAGTTAGAAACAAATGAGGAAGCGTTTTTTAGGAAACATTTTTCCATGACATGGCCTCCGACGTTCTTTAAACCGCAAAGAAAAAAAATAAATTAACGAGCCCATAACTTAGACGAGAATAGCTATATACATGTACAGTTTCAGACAAAATAAAACGTAATAGCTGAAACAAATAGTCTAAAATCCGACTGCAGGATTATTACGCTCATCGTATTTTTAATCAAAACCTACTTTTTACGTACATTTACGAATAGGAGAATCAAAAAGTTGCCGTAACTATGTTTAATTAATAATAATAATAACTAATTTTGGATTTGTAATTTAAAGTATTTCAAAATTTTAACGGTTTCGCAAATATTGAGGGTAAAAGGGTAGCTTAAGGATGATTTTTACCCTCTAAATGAAATTTTGAGGGTAATAAGCTTTTTTTTGTTTTTTTTTTAATGTAATATTTTTTAGTTTATTTTACAGGTACTAATTTTTGTTTCTTTATGTTTTGTTTTGTTTTCTGTTTGTTTTTGATTAAACAATTTTTTACTTTATAGTTTATCCACTTTATTTTAGTGATTAGTCTGGCAAAAAAATATATTTAAATTTGAAAGCTTTAAGTTAAACCCGGTGCGCTTTAATAAACGATGAAAATAATCACCGATACGACATTATTATTATCAGGTTTATTTTGAACTTATTAATTAACATTATTTCTTCTTTAACCCGTTTACCAAACACCGGTATCGTAGTCAAAACCGGTATCGAGATAAACACCGGTGTTCAGACCACCACCGGTGTCGAAATAAACACCGGTATCGGTGCCAACACCGGTGTCGGTGATGTCGACACCGGAACACCGGATCCGGATAGCCTATATTTGGCCACCGGTGTCAGCCCAAACCGGTGTTATAACGGTGTTACGGTGTTTGGAACAGGCCTAGGTAGCACTACAACATATATTAAATAATAAATAATTTAAATGTGATATATAAAATTGCGTTTATCTGATGAAGCAGATCGAAATTGACAAAATATAAAGATACAAATTTTAATCGGCATTAAGCGGCCTACACCATTTTACTAACAAGGGAACAAAGTCAATGGTGCACATGATTCTTTTAGAAAAATATTCTGACAAAACTGTTTTAGTAGGTACTAAAATATATAACATTTATAGTAACTTTTACCGTCAAAACTTCATTCGAATATAAAAGGACTTAGAAGAAAATTATAATAAATCGAAAAAAAAAATGAAGGCTTTAACCTCCCGTAGCTACGAAGCAAAGCAGAATCGGACCTATGTTGATATAAGAAATTAATCTTAATTTTACGTGAGAAATCTTCCCACGAGAGATATGGCACATGTTTTTTAAAACACCATGTATAAATAGTATACTGCCATCCTTTTCAAATGATTCACTCCACCTATTAAATCAGATCAAATGAGTATATGTTAAGATGAGATCATATGGGTATGGTGATCATTTAACTTTCTAATTTATCGTAAACTGGATAACTTTGTCCGGTACTGTACACAGGCCAGAATAAATTCCCCAAGTCAGCTTCAGCCCCGCATACAATTTACCAAATTAAAAACTCGATAAATCTTCGTCTTGCGGCTCTTCTCTTCTCTCCTTCTCGCCCTTTCAACCCTTAGGACCAGAACGGCCTTCTGCGTCCACCCCCACCCCCAAAATAAGACCCAAAATGGCGCCTGGACCGGAGTTTATGAAAGTTGGCCGCTCCTCCCACTTTTTGGAGTTTCGGAGCCAACGCCGCTGCCATTTTACCTTTTTCTGGAAAAGTTTCCGTGCAGGAAGTCCACCCATCGCCGCCCCCTTTTAAATTTATATGAATTAACACGTAAATAAATTAAATTAACAATTGTAATAGAAGAGAAGCAACTTTCGTTGTTTCCGAAAAGTTGGACGAGGAAAATTGTTGTGAAAAAGGATGTGGTGGGGTATAGAGGGAAGAGGTGAGTTTTAACCGCCCCCTGCATTATTCACAATTTATTTAAACCGTACCGGAGCTGGCCGTACCTAAATGAATTTTTAAGTTGACCAGGTGAAAAACAGAGAAAGCCAGTTATGCTTTAATTTTTCGTCTCGCTCTTTTAGGGTCAGGGGTGGATCTGCGAGGGGTCATAGCCTTAGTCATTAATAAAATAAATGAATAAAATAGAAGGCTTTGATATGTGGTACCATCGAAGAATCAACAAGATTTGTTGGAACACTCACACAATCAACGAAGTAATAAGTTCTTGAACAACTTAGTCATTTAGACCAGGCACTCCAGTACACCATCAGACTGTAACTTATTTAACGTATTTAACGCATTTCGTCAGATACAAAATATACACATCTTTATTTTTTCAGATAAAAAAAATCGATTTGGAATGTTATAAATATGACATAAATCAGAATTGATTGACGTAGGCAAAGTTTACAGAATAAAATATACGTAGGTATTCCATTAGTTTTAGTCATTTCTTGTTTCATGGGAAATGTCTGCAACTTTTGATTTTTAAATGGTACCTTAGGTTCTTTTTAACTTTATTTGATGGAAAATTACATTCTGAATATCTTTTTTATCGTCAAATATACAGGGTGTCTCAGAAATAAGTGCAAGTATTTTAACTGGTAGTATAGTTCAACCCCAAAAACAGGCCTACGAGGTTTTTTCGCGAAAAAAAAACAACGGGAAAAGGATAATGCCATTACCATATATTATAGCACTCGGCATTGCAGACGGAGTTACAACAGGTCAACATATCATGGAGGTTAGATAGGCACGGAGAAATAAATGTTGGAACAAAGAAATAAAATAAAATCGAATTTGGAGTTTCCCAAAAAAAAAATATTCTAGATTCGCCCCTGGCAGGCTATGGTAGTGAGCGAGAGTTAGGAGTGGGGGTACATGGTTTAATTTCGCAAGGGGCGAGGCGTTTTAGTTTGTTCAAATTAATATTCTTGTTTTCGCTGCTTTATACTCTGTACACTCTAATTGCCTCTCACAAGTTGATTTATAAAAATGAAATTGTCTGTATTGTGGTAGTCGACGATGCTCAGACAAAGTTATTTCACTTTTTCTACAGACATTTTTATATTCCTACACCCTTAATTATTTTATAGAAGGATATTAAATTAATAACTATAACTATAAACATAACATCTACCTACATAACATCTATCTACTTTACTCCATTTTAAAAACATAACTTTATTTCCCTGCGGTTAAACTCTACAACTTATCAAATTAAAAACCCTCCACAACCAGTATATTAAACCCCAGTAGATGCTCCCTAGGGATCTCATTTAGTCGCCTAAAATATTCTCTTTAATTTTTCCCCTCGTATGTTACCTCAAACCTTTACACCAACCTTAAGTCCTCCCACCTCTGTCTATACAGGGTGTCTCAGAGAAATATACATCGATATAGCAAAAAGTACATGGAGGCCATTATACAGAGTCCTACAACAGTGTGTCGGGCATCTGTAGGTTCTATAGAAAAGAACGTAGAAATTGTGTATGTAATTTTCCTGTATGTAATTTTGAACCCCCTGTATGATTTCTATATTATGAAAATATAGAAAAATATACAGGGTGTTTCAAATAACATGTGCCATCTCTCGTGGGGAGATTCCTCACGTAAAAATAAGATTTATTTTGCATATCAACATAGGTCCGATTCTGCTTTGTTTTGTAGCTACAGGGTGTTAAAGACTTAATCTTTCGATTTATTATAATTTTCTTCCAAGCACTTTTAGTGATTCGAACAAAATTTTGAGAGTAAAAGTTACTATAAGTGTTACATATTTTAATGCTAAAAAAGAGTCGATAA